CAACTTCTCCCCTCTCTCTGTCCCCTTTTCACCTCCTCTTCCCTTCCTCTCCTCCCTTTCCCCTCCTCTCCCTGTTTTCTCTTCCTCTTTTCTGTCTTCTCATCTTCTGTCCTCTCTTTTTAAATGTTGACCCTGACTTTTCTTATCATCTTAAAGAGAATAACACGTTTCCTATCAATAACACTGTGTCCTATTAAGGACAGTGCAGGAATAAATAGTCACAAATTTCTTTGATTGGAATTTATGTTTCAAATAATAAAGGCTGTTTAATAAAATTTCAATGGTCTTTTGCCATAATAATAGGTTAATAAGTTAATTAACCAACCAAACATTCATATATGCTATACTATTTTTTCTTCACCTAAATATTTATTTGTTAAGCACGTTCCTTGAAACCCTACATTCCTCTAAGTTGTCTTTTCTCAAACTGGGTTCTATAGATCCTTGGGGATTCAACCACAAACATCTTCTCAAAGATCCAAGAGTTCTGTGTGAGAAATCTAAAAAACACTATATTTTTATTTAAAAGAAGATTTACAAATTTAATAGATTTGTCTTTTAATTCTCTGAATAATCCCCTTATAACAGGATACTCCCTTCTCAACCTCAGGGATCTAATTTGTGCCTATATTTATGACTATGCTGTTGCTCAGTAAGTTCTCAAAGTGAGCACATTTAACTCAAAGTGTTGTTAAATATGTCTGGTAGCCATTAGGTGAATAACAATCATAATATCAGAAGGACAATAATTGCCTGATTTCTGCCTCATACCTATTTTGGGTACTTTTTCTATCAATAAATACAAAATTTCTCTTTTACAGTGGTAATTCTCAACTGAAGACACTTTTCATAGAATAAGACTTTAATGTCTTATTGGAATTAAAGAACGATCTTTAACATAATATTGCATAAAATTAGCAAAGCAAATCTTACAATAGTATAATAAAAGTACAATACTTTATGAACGAATTGGTTTTAGTCCAAGAATTACAAGGTTGATTTAACATATGAAAATCAATTAATGTAATTCACCACACTAACAGGTTAAAAAATGAGAATTATATAATCACTATACGTAGAAAAAGCATTTGACAAAACATACAACTCATTGCTCATAAAAATTGTCAGTAAACTAGGAATAGAAGGAACCTTAGTCAACCTGATAAATGGCACCTGTAGAAGTCCTATGGTAAATATGATGAAAGATTTCATAATGATGAAAGATTGAATGCTTTCTTCAAAGATTGAAGAAAAGGATGTTTTTTTCTTACCACTTCTATTCAACATTGTATTAGAAGGCCTACCAAGTGCAAAAACTAAAATGAGAGGGATGAATATTTGAAAGGAAAAGGAAAGCTATCTGCAGATAACATAATTTTATAGCTAGAAACTCTTATGGAATCTAAAAGAAAATTATTAGAACTAATACTCGGATGTAGCAATATTATAGAACACAAGTTGAAAGAATAAAATTGTTTTATTTCTATATATTAGCAATAAAGAAGTAGAAAATAAAATTTGAAAACATTATCAAAAACATTGAATACCTAGTAATAAACATAAAATATGTGTAGGAACTCTGCATTGAAAACTAGTGCAGGCTCTAACCTGTAATGCACAAGGTAGGATCGGGGTGGAAGTGGGGCCTCAGGCTGCACCAGGGCCGGATGTGGGGTGGTAACTGGCAGGGCTTCAACCCAGAGCTGTGGCACAGCTGTGGGGTGGGGAAGGCTCTGGGGAGAGGAAGGAGTGGGTGGGGACCACTTAGCCTGCTTTAGGACTGAGGGTGCATGAGCTGTCCCACCTAAGACAGAGGGGACCCTAGTGGGGAAGAGCTACCAGAGATGGGGAGAATCAGTCCTGAGTCTCACTGTGCAGGCAGAGGACACCCTGAAGAGCTGGCACCACACCTGCCGCACAGGGTGCCCCATGGCTGTGGGCTGCAGAGGCCACTATGGCCTGTGCTGCTGCTCTCATTGTCCGTTGCTCCTGAAAGTTTGGACACTTGCGGTGTCCTGCTTGCCAACAACTGACTCTCAGGTGTTTCCAGTCTTCACTTGGCAGCCTGACCTCAGGGGTTTTGGAAATGATCCCCCCTTTATATGTCCTCCCAAATCCAGACATCCCCTTTCTGGGTAACTTCTCTCCGGGTGCTCGTGGACATCACAGAGCAGGAGTCTAGCAGCTTCCACATGCCTGCTTGCAGGGCCTCCCAGAGACAGGCATCTGGCAGGCGGCTAGAAATGAGCTCTTGCAAGAGAATGGAGAGGGAGAAGGGGGTGGAACACATTTGTGTCAGGGCAAGGGGTAGGCTGGGTGCTTTTTGCCTGAGACGACCCAGCCAGGGCTCACTGGAGAGCAGCAATCAGGACAGGGCACAGTGGGTGGATCATGAGATCGAGACCATCCTGGCCAACATGGTGAAACCCCCTCTCTACTGAAAATACAAAAACAAATTAGCTGGGTGTGGTGGTGCACGCCTATAGTACCAGCTACTCAGGAGGCTGAGAGAGGAGAATTGCTTGAACCCAGGAGGCAGAGGTTGCAGTGAGCTGAGATCATGCCATTGCACTCCCTCCTGGTGACAGAGCAGGACTCCTTCTCAAAAAACAAACAAACAAACAAAAATATAAAACAAAACAAAAAACAAAGATTGTGATGAGTCCCATGAGTCTGAGTTAAAGCAGAGTTTGCCCAAGGAGGAGCAGAGAGGGTGGTAGGTGCAGATCCCAGTCCAGTGAATCAGTGTGACTCCTGGGATGAGTTGAAAGATTGACATTCTGACAGAGAGTGGGTCACGTGGGGAGCTTGGGTCAGAGACCAAAAGAGGTTTGGACAGGCAATGGAATCCAGTGTCTGAGAGTGCCTTGGAGTTAAAAAGAAAACATCACTACCTAGACGTGAGAACTAGACCATTAACAGATTGAGGGCCAGGGCACAAAGAAACTCTATGATAAAGGGAAGGAAAGAGGAAAGGACAGTGATGGGGTGGCTGGGTCATGTGGGAGGGTGGACAGCAAGAGATGAAAAGGCTAAGGTTAGCAAGGACTCTAGCAGGGAAGCTATGACATCCCAGGGGGACACAGAGGGAGTAGCGTCCTCCACCAGCTCTCACGACAGGATGTCCTGCTCCCCTAGCTGTTGTGCGGCACCCCTGTCTGCAGAGATCTTGATGGAGTTTGCACAAGGCTACTTTCAACAGGAGCTTTCCCAGCTGGCTGCAGGAGACAGGCGGTACTCACTACAGCCAGGAGCACTCCCAGGACAGGACGCTGGCAAAGTTCGCATCCTCCCACATCTTGACTACACCATTGCTGCAGATTTTCTGCCCTGAATGAGTTCTGAGTTAGGTAAAACAAATGCAACGGCCTTGTGTCAGTCCTTCAGGTAACCTCTGGACATGTTAGAACAAACATACACAATTCTTTTTTCTTCTCTGCTCCCTGGGGAACCAAGGACCAGGGTCCCATCCTGGGAACCTGGCCACCTTCTTCAAGACCATCGCCAAGCAGAGAGAGAGTGGGGGTGAGGGCAAGGAAACACACAGCAAAGCTGCCTTGTTATTTTTAAGCTGCTTTTGTGCTGCTTGAGCTTTCACTCCATTGAAGCTCCTTGGGCTATTTCCCAGAGTTCTGAGAAAGCTGAACCCAGCCACCCAGTTTACTTCCACAATTGCCCCCAAATCTGCATCTACAGAGAAGCATCAGTGAGCAAAGGGGCCTTTATCAGAGCGACAGAGGAGGAGGGAGCACTGAGCACACCCTGTGGCCCCAAATTTAAAACTCTGTCTTAGTGATAATTTCCTTTTAAAGTCCCTTTTGCACTGCTTGGCCCTTGAGGGCTCTCAGCCCTCTCACGTGTACCCATGTGGTCCCAACCTGCCAGCGTCCTCCTCCCCTTGCCCAGGGTCTCTCCCTCTCTCCTAACAATCTAAAATATTTTTCCATTTTTATACAGAGCAAGCCAGCTCCCAGGAGTCCCTAAGCCTGCCTGCACATTCTGAAGCCATCTAGATTTGAAGTACAGATAGGAGGCTTTCTATTTGGTATAACTTAAGAGAGAAGTTGCAGTGATTTAAAGCACTGTCTTTTTGTTTTGTTTTGAATCACACCAGTGGTTGTTTCCCTATGAAGGGTTGTTTTATGAGGTATGTATGTGAGTGTACATATACACACACATACACATACGTATGCACACACACATACATATGCCATACACACACATGCTCCCATATTTTATTTATTTATTTATTTTTGAGATGTAGTCTTGCTCTCTTGCCCAGGCTGGAGTGCAGTGGTGCGATCTTGGCTTACTACAACCTCCACCTCCCAGGCTTAAGTGATTCTGAAATCCCTGCCTCAGCCTCCCCAGTAGCTGGAATTACAGGCGCCCACAACCACACCTGGCTAATCTTTGCATTTTCACTAGAGACGGGGTTTCATCATGTTGGCCAGGCTGGCCTCGAACTCCTGACCTCAGGTCATCTGCCCACTTTGGCCTCCCAAAGTGCTGGGATTACAGGCATGAGCCACCGCGCCCGACTGCTCCCATATTTTATATCCTCATATTAACAGATTCAATTAGCTTAGCTTAAAAAGCATTGCCATTCATTGGTGTGCTGGGTCCCGAAAGCCACTGCGCACACCTTCTCAGTGCCCTGTAGCAGTGCTGTCATGTTGGTATCTTGAAATGATAGAGTGGTGGAGTATTTACACCATGGAATACCAGCAATGGTACCTTTTAACAAGAGTGAGCATCCCACCGTTTCGCAGAGTTTGATGCTCACTACTACGTTATTAAGATCCCACCCTGGTAGAAGCAAGCATCGTATCATTTCCTCATTAATTTCCTCAAGTCTCATGATAATTCTAATAAATCAACCACAGCCAAAACTTTTTCCTCCCATGTGATGAAACCTCACAAGAGTTGGTATCTCCCTTTTTGTTTGTTTTCTCTGACAAGACAGCTTGTTCATAATCCCTCCCCATCAAAGGACTTACACTTCAAAATCCCCTCTTCTGCTCTCCTTTCACTGCCAGATGATGCTCTGTTTGGCAAAGACCCGCAATTCATTTCTGACATCTCTCGCTTTGGCATTTGCAGCCTGATTCTGGCCCAGACTGACTTTAAAGACCCAGATCTCTTAGATCTAAAAATACCCTTCAAAGTTTGAACATAGGTAAGATCTAGAGAGAGAAGTTCCATGTGAGAAAATAGGGTCTACAAATGGCCTGAAGTATATTTCTAAAAAACAAATCAGTATTCTAAAAGGCAAAAAGTTGCTGAAAAATTTCAAATGTTAAAGGAGACTACAGAGGCATACTATCCAATTATGGCATGTGGTCTTATGGTAGACCAGTACTCCAGGGACGACAGTGCTATAAAGGACATTACTAGGTAAATTGACAGAATTGACATGCAGAAAGAAGATTCAATAAAATTTCTTTAGTAATGTTAAATTTGCTGAAGTTAGTAACCTCTGTACATACCGAAGTATCTACTTTGTGAATGAATATACTCTGAAGTACTTAGAGAAGGACCATGTTGTATGCAACTTATTCTCAAAGCTTAAGGAAAAATATTGATATGTATATATAGAAAACAAATCTGACAAAATTTTAAAAATTTGAGAACCTGGGTAAAAATGTATAGAACTCTTCTTTTTTTCTTATAATTTAGCTGTAACTTTGCAATTATTTCCCAAAAAGTGTTTAAAACTTTTTTTCTACATAACCCCAGTAGACTCAGGACTTGGAGACACACAATAAGAAAGAAGAAAAGTAAAGAGATTCAAGCCTGAAAAGTGGTTCAGGGACTGCAGATATCTATTGTGGTGATTGTTATTAGACTTCCAGTCACCACACCAACAGCTTTTTTTTCTTAATCAAACCAGTTCTAAGAATATATAATATATTAGCCAGCAACAAAAATCTCCATGGGTAAAGCCATCTGATGACTGCCTCAGCTTACTGCCTATAGCTCCAACCACCCTGCAACCCAGACAACTGGATTCTGGGAGTTTTAGTTCTGTTGCAACTGTTCTAACTGTCATTACTGGTATATAGAGAAGAGCCACTGATGATCCCTTTCAGGATGCTGTGGCTCCCTTTACAATTAAATTTCTCACGCCTTGGTAAAGGGTCTTTTGGACTCTACTTGGATGTAGTTAAGAGGGTAGGCAAGTAGTTCTTAGATGAGAAATCTACTCTAGCATTTTGATTTCCTTGGGCCCTGTAGACCTTCTGCAACATACCAATGGAGTTCTGGCATTTCACCTGGATTTAGTCTAGGTCACCAGATTTTAGTCAATTAACCAAGCAAACTCTTAGAGCCACTCAAAAGGACACATTGAATCCAGAATCTTGGCTTAAAGTTTCTATATCGTTGATTTCATCCTTGTCCAATATTATATATCTTTCCTCCTGATCAGACCCCTTAGGATCTATTTTCATGCATATTCCTCGGGTTTCTGTCTATATAAATTGATAAACTCTTGGAATATTTTGGTGTAACTTGCATCCTCTCATGGCTTACACTTTGAAACTCACACTCTGGGGCCTGGTGAGACTTGAATCTGGTTACAAATGTAGAAACAAGAGGCATTGAGGGTTTTCAGGAAGGTTAGCAATCCTTTGCAAGGCAATTACCTTGAAAGAAGTTATTACAATCTTTAGGCAAAGAATACTAACCTTAGTCTTGGAGGAAGGGTTTCCATCTGCAAGAGGGGCTCTGAAGAATTTAGAGATTCGTGGTCTCCAGCTTCACTGGAATTTGTCCATGTGTCCCCTTTTAATTGTTAGAGAGAGTCCCACTCTTAGTCAACGTACCAACTTCAACATGAATTCAATTTGCCTTGTAATTCAGCCAACAGAAAGATCAGATTTTGAATCTGTTTTTCAGAAATCTTGGCCCTATGTCTACAGGAGAAAAAAAGGTATTCATTGAAGCATTCTACTCCCTTATGCAGACCTTGAACTGGGAATTCAAAGCCCCGACTTCATTGTTTTCTTTCCCTAAGTTTTCTATCTTACTTAGAAGCAACTAACCAATCCCATTATGGTCCTTATTTCTACCAAAATGTTCTATGGTATCACTACTTGATCCTCCAAACCTCTGCCTTCTACAGGCTGGTGATTCCAGATGCCTGCAGGTGATCAGATATCTAAGTAACCCTCTTGCCACCAAATACCACACACGGTTCAGTTACTCTTTCAAAAAAAATTATCAAGTAACTACTCTATGCCAGAGACTCTTCTAGTCCTGGAGATATAGCAATAAAGAAGATAAAGACAGTTCCTGCTGCCATTCAGCTTGGTTCTAGTGAGAAAGACAGATACATTAAAAAATAACTTGACATTACATTTTCAAGAATTTAAGTACTGTCTTGGAAAATGTAATTGTGTAAGAAGACAGATATTGACAAGAAGGACACTTTTAGTTCTTGTGGCGAGGAAGTATAGATTTAACTCTTATTAGTAAAAGAGTGTTTAAGAATAAAAATATATCAATTCCCCTAACTTTGGAGACAAACCGAAGCACTGAATGTACTTCTATTTTTGATTTTTCCCTTAGCATGGTGAGTTTGTTTGGGAAATGATTCAATAGTTATTTGTAGTTTCTAAATTCTCAGCAGCAGTTGCCTCCTGATATGTGTCACTATATATTCTGAGTTGACATCTGTTATCTGAATCACCAAAATAGTGCCTTGTTTTAAAATTTATCCACTATTGGCTTATGTTTTATCTTACTCTAGGCCATGTTATCACTACATGTGACATCTCTGTATATGTGTTTGTGAAACTGGGATAAAGTTGGCAAAACTTGAGATAGAGGAAACTATCTATGAAACATGTTTTGCATTAGTAGAACAGGAGGCATAAGCACATTTGGAATAGAAAGAACAGAGAAGGCGATATTGGAGAAATAGGATCTCACAAAGGAAAGTAGAATGCAAGTAGAGAACTTAAATGCAATGTAGGCAACAACCTTGCAGTTTGGACAACTATAGACCTACTATGGCTTATAGTTTCTACCAACTAGACTTAAGCTCCTTTTGGAATAAAGCCTTTGCCTCATGGAGGAAGTCAGTTAATGTTTGTTGATTGTGATTTTGATGATGACATTCTCGATGATATTCTATTTGGGGAACGTTTTTCAAAGTGGGGCTTTGACCTGACATACTCTTATACCAATAGAAAAACCAACATTTTCTCACTGACACCTTAGGTATTGACAGATATCCGAAAGAAAAATAATTGATATGACCAAGCAATAGTGAAGTGTAGGATACTGATCTCCAGAGATTTGTGAGACTAAAAATTGGGCAAACGAATAAAAAAAATCATAGTCTAGATTATCACGATGTTGAACAATATAGTTATGTTTACACATAATGTTGGAAAAGGCATCAGTGCAATTTCTACAATGCACTGATGATAATGACAATGAAATTTCAGGGATAATGTGATAATGAAATTTTAGGAGAAATTATAATTAGTTTTTCATCTCTCTTAAATGGATGTGTGGTTTTTTTCTGTCCTCTTCCTTCTCCATTTATGCCTGTTCCGGTTCCTTGTTGACTTGGGGAAATATACATGTGGGTAATAAGGGTGAACATTTCTGCAGAAACAAAGCAGATCTATTATGCTTCAGCAGGCTTAATTCTCATTTGTTTAAAGAGGGTTTGAAAAGATGGGGGGTTTCCTATATATAGTCAATGCATACTTAAGAACACCTACTATGTGCTGGTTTCATTTTAGTCTCTAGGAACTGGGAGACATATTGAACCATCTGTACCTACATATATTGAAATTGTTGTACCGAAGAGTATTTCAAGGTCTTCTATCTACCTGTTTTCTTTTGGATGGAAGCAGTCAATGCAAACCAGCATTGTGAATGAGCTTGAGGAGAAAAAATTTAGGAGAAAAATTCTCACTTTTGGGGTTTTTGCTACAAATTTTAAGAAGGGGGAGCTGTTTTCAGAAGAATGTGGAGCTACTTTGGCTTCATTGGCAGAGTAAGTCCGTTAATAATCCTGAAGCACTTTCCTTGTTGAAATTACACAAATTAGCATTTAACCCAGGAGGAAGAACACGTGAAATTATTTAACATTTACATAAAATTATGGAGTAAACTCCAAACAGGTCGCCTCCGAAATGTATAATTACACTCAGCAGTCCTGTCAGCATACATAGAAACAATTTTATTTCCAATCATCTTCTGCTTTTATTCACTCAGGAATGTATCATTAAAATTTCCACAGAACAATGAACCTTAATAGGTGCTAATGCAATTGTGAATTATGGTAATTGTTCCCTAAATTAATCTCTGTACTTTCCATTCCTTATTGCCCTGTGCATAAGGAGTGTGAAAAAGATAATGTTGATACTGACATTTGTATAAATGGTATAAAAATTTATCTTATTTAATAAAAATTTAATATAAGAACTTGCTACTTTGTAAAGTAGTTTACTTAGAAAAAAATGTTAGATTTATGGCAAGCCGGGTTTCTGTAATCTTTAATTTGTGAAATTTGTGAGGGGAAATGGCAGTTGATCCATTTTGGTTATCTTTGGGGTACGTGTATGCACCCAGGTATCTGGATGGCACATGTATGTTCCTCTGTGCACATATTGCCAGGGCAGTGTATGCATTTGTACCCTTATCTATGTGCATGGCCTCTATGTGTATATGTTCACTCATTTACATAAACTACCCTCTTGATATAATAAAATCCACCATTATGTGTTGAATTGTATTCCTCTCAAATTCATGTGCTGAAGTCTATCTCCTAGTTCTTCAGAATGTGACCATATTTGAAGATAGGGTCTTAAAGAGGTGATTAAGTTAAAATGAGGCCATATGTTTGGGCTCCAATCCAATGTGACTGGTGTCCATCTAAGAAGAAGAAATTAGGGCAGAGACATAGAGGGAAGACCACGCGAAGACACAGGGAGAAGATGGCCGTCTACAAGCCAAGGAGAGGGGCTCCTGAAGAAACCAGCCCTGCCAACACTGTCATGTCAGATTTATGGCCTCCAGAACTGTGGGAAAATAAATTTCTGTTGTTTAAGCCACACAGTCTGTAGTACTTCGTTATGGCAGTCCTAACAAACTCATATACTCAGCTGGATGGGAAATAAAGAAATACAGGGTTTTGTCTTGTTTCTGTCACTCCTGAATTATATTTGGGCATATCACTTAGCCTTCCCATTTGCAGTAGGGTCCAGTTCTTGACTACTTGTTTATTCAAACCACTCAGTTTCATAGTCTTTGCTAACTGCACCCTGACTTTACTCTGAGAAAACACTCACCCTTCACATTTACTTCTCACAGTTCAGACGGAGCTGATCTTCGGCTCCAGCTCCAGTGGGCATGTTCCTCAGGTCTGGCCAATCAGTATGTTCCATGCTCACAATGATTGGCTCAAGAATGCACATATGACAGAGCCCTGGACAATGAGATTCCATTTCAGGACTTAATCTGGAACTATTGCACACTTATAGGATCTCTGTTTGCTAAGGCGAGAGGATAAATGTCTGGGGCTTGCTGCAGCTGTCTTGGAACCACAGAGAAGGGTCAGACCAAGAATGAAGCCAATACAGAGAAAACTGAACCACAAGATGGAGAGAGATCCAGTACTAAGAACCCTCTGTGAGTCCCTGATCCAGCCTTGCCTGAAGCCAGTGATTCCTGGGGGCCCTCTGGTTTTCCTTAATAAGCTGGTAAATCCCTCCACTTTGTTTTCCCCTCAAGGCAGTTTGACTTGCATTCCTCTCATTGCTACCAAAAGAGTCCTGAGTTGCAGAATGGCTGAATGCTGCCTCTTCCTCTGCCAAATGAGTGTATCCTTTATAATTGAAACTATTTTTCCCCAATTAAATATTATATAGAACACAAATACTGCTGTGTATGTGAGAGGAGGCAGGAGTGAGCGGGGAAAATAAAACCTGACCCCTTTGACGTTCCTCTAATCCCCTGGTTCTGTGTGGACACCTCTGGGTTAGATGATTCAAAGTTTCCTGC